GACCCCTCCAGGAGCCGAGGCCGGTGCAGGGAGCCAGGGCACCACCCCGACCCCCGGCCGCTCCTCTCCGCTCAGCCCCGCACAGAAACGGGGCACGGGGAAGCGCCGGGAAGCGCTGGCGGAGCTGCGGGCGCACGGTCGGTGCGATGGAGCGGGAGCCGGGGAGCCAGCGGGGTTGCCCTGGAAACRGAGCGGCTCCTCTCCCCATCGTTTGTCATCGTGAGGCCGATGACACGAGCCATTAGAGCGATGGCAGGAGAGGAAGGAGCCGGGAGGAGGCCATGTCAGCCCACGGGCGAGCGCTCGCAGGGGCTGGGATGCTGCTCCTGGGCACCAACACCCCGCTCCGGCCCCAGCGGCCACCCCGCTTGTTCCAGCGGCAATGAGCGACAAGGCACAGCCCTTCGCACCTGCCTGTGCCGCTCCTCCGTGGCTCCMGGCCAGCGGAACCGGCAGCTCAGGCTGGGGAGCGCAGCCAGGAAAGGAAAAGGTGCTGCCAGGGCTCCGGCTCTGGCACTAGATGCTGCTACAGAGCAACACCGTTCTAATTATAGTAACGGTGTCAGTGCTCAACAGTGAGAAAAACACATACTTCAAAAGGTCTGGAACGATGTAATTTGCTGCTGGCAGAACTCGCTAAAAACCACACCGGAATGGAGCACTTTCTAAATGTAATTTGTGCTCATCTGGCTGGCTTTAAATTGGCTGAAGGTTCAGCCAGGGAGCAGGGGGATGAGGTGGGCACACAAATAGTGGAGATTTGTGGTTAAAACTGCCTTTCTACTCCTAAGGCTTTACACTAGTTTTACACGAAACAGCGACATTTGGTGGATCTGTGTTTAACCTAAATATAGCACAGGGAAAGTCAAGTCAGTACAGCAACACTCGTGGAGAAAGGAGGGAGTCTGGTGGGCAGGCAGACATTTAGATGTCACTCTTCAGATGTGCTTTGTAGTGATGCCTCCCTAAAGTGTTTGATTGTGTGGAGCAGAGCTCCAGGTTGGGGTTTTACCGTGAGTAAAGCACAAACTAACCCACGCCTGTAACTCCTCCAGTTGGTGCTGTCCCCAGAACGGCCTGTCACTGTCATTGTCACTGCACCTGGAGAGCAGCTGTTGCTCTGTGTGTGTCACCCCCGGGATCCCACGGGAAYTTGCTGGGGCAGGAGGTGAAGCAGAGCAGGTGGGATTCAAGTGAGAAAATAATAACCTTGGTGCTAAGGGCTGCCCTCAGAGATTGGAGCAAATCCCCATGGAGGGACCCAGACTGGTCCCTGTGCAAACACAGAGCAAGAGACAGRGACAGCTCCTTCCTCAGAGAGCCACGGGCTGATCAGGTGAGACAAAGGGCAGGGGAGTGAGCCCAGCAGCTCTGGCAGGGAGCTCCCARCCTTCCAGCTCCTTTCCAAGCTGCATGGAGCCAGCCAGACGCACGTGGCTTTTCCACAAGCTGTTTTTGTGCAGAGAATGTGTAGCTGACGTTCTTACCCTTCCTCATCCCCCTCTGCTCAAAGATCGTCTCATTTCCGTGCCCTACAGCCACAGATCTCACCCACAGAAAGTTTGACTAAGCCACTCCTTTCATAACTCGCGTTGTGTGGTACAAAATAACATTTGCTGTGGTACAAAATAACATTTCTGGTCAAAAATGTCAGGGAACATCACCCATGGGAGGGTTAAGGGAAATTCAAATGGGGGTGGAAAGGAGTCCTAATTTGGTTTAGTGGAAATGATTGTTGTCCTGTCAGTGGGGAGAACAAGAGGATCACAGTCTGGCCCCACCTCAGATCATACTCAGAGCTGTAAGTTTCTGTTTCTCACCCTGCAGAGAAATTCGCCTTCTGGGGGCGGATGCACTGGGCAAGAGAGCAGCAGGGAGAAGGAAAGGAACAGCCTGTCAGATGGGCGCTTAAATTAGAGGACAATGAATGATGAGTCTGTTCCAGCCCGGCAGAAAGGGATGGAAGGAACAAGGGGCCCTTGGGAAGGCACCRAGCTGCTGATGTGAGGCTGGGCTTAGGGCTCGAGTGGGGAAACACCTTGAGAGCACAACCACATCCCCAGGCACTGGGATTTATTTACATGTGGTGATTCACTTTTCATGCAGTTCCCTGCATTTCCAAGTTTAAATTCCTCTGGCACAAGAACTCATAAAACAACACAATCCCCTGCGGGGAGTGGAGGAGGACAAGAGTGACACTCTGCAGTGCCTCAGTTTCCCCRCTGTGCACGGGGCGTGGGTGGGGAAGGCACAGCAGAAAGCAGGTCCTGGTGATGCTCCCACACAGCACACGAGCCTCAAGCTGCACAACCCAAACTGGGAGAAGGAAAGCTCGCTGCTGCTGCTGGGGGAAGGGGATTAATCAGCAGGAGATGACAACACAAGTCCAGCCTTTCATTAATTAGAGGAGGGCAGGAGCTGATTCAGGGAGCATCTCCCCCACAGCACTGGGGGGTGTTTTTCTGCAGACATTCTCCTGCTCCCTGGAGGCACACGGGGAGTGTGGAGGTGCTGCTTCAAACCACAGCCCCGTGGAGCAGAACTGTGTCACACAGCACAAGCCATTCCCCCGGGGAGAAGCTGCAGGCCTGCCAGGAAAATAAACACGTTTGGCACAGCACAAAGCAGGCCATTAGAGTGTCAATCAGAGGAGTGAGGATTCGGCCAAAAGGCAGCTCGGATGCAGAGCTCAGACCAAGATCTTCACAAAAATATCTTAAAACAGGCACCCAGAAACACAGCCCAGCCTCTATCACCCATCATGTCTGCTGCAGAACCTCCACTCGCRGTGGATTTATGAGATGTGCACAGGGATTCAATAATTAATGTGGCAGAATGAAGCCCTGTGGCTGCACACCCAGAGCAATTTCCAGCAGAATTAAGGCACAAGGGGAATTGGCCATCGGCACAGMTGATCTATGGCTTTGTGGCTGCTATGGAACTTCACGTTTTTCTTGGAATCTGAATACTTTTCTAAGAGACCTAGCCCTGCCCAGCCGTGTACTGACACAGGGAGATAAAATTATCTGGCTTGTCCTTTCACAGAGCAGACTGGACAGTTCCTTCTGGCTACATATGCATACATGTAGAACTGGCATAATGAGAAGCCACTTCCAGCACAGCCTTGAGGCACTAACTCTTTAACAAATAAGGAACAGACAGTATTAATCCTGGGTTGGTTGGAAATGTATCTTTCTGGAAATATTTGGATAATTTTTCTTTCCTCACYGTTTCAGCTTAAATGAGGTGCCTGGTTACCAAACATACATGTCAGGGGTTTCAGTTCTGGTTTGGTTATGTAAAAAGGCATCTTCCTCCTGCACCACAGCACTAAGAACAGTCTGAAGAAAATATAATAAAGACCCTTTGCTGGATTAAGYGCAAATCAACCGACCCAGCTGCCACTGGGGCTTTGGGGCTGGAGGTATTYTGGGTACCTTATCTATATTATGGGCACCGTGGAAGCTTTTCTAATTAGTCTTCTGGAAGACGAAATGCCTGCAATGACAGTGGCAAGTGCCATTTCCAGCCTGCTCACAGAGGACTGAAATGGCTCGTTAAGTCATCTGCAATCAGTGGTGGGGCCCTAAAGCTTTGAATACTTGATTCGCTGCCATACAGCAATTTTCTCATGTGAGGAGAAGCAGGAACAGTCAGGCACCTCTTCCCCATTTCCCCTCC